CCCCCCCCAGCCCTCTTTCTGTTCTCTGATGGCTGAAACAGACTGCTGCTGCCCTGAAGCCCGCCCCCGGTCCATCTCCTCTTAGTATGTCATCGAGCTTGTCCTCTGACATCACAGCTGTTTTTTATATGTTTTTTTATCATCGTTATGGAAATAAACAATAAAAATGTAAACCTGCCTAGTGATGTCTGTCTTAATCCTGAGAACAGCCGCCTGTAGAGCAGCTCTGATTGGACCAGGTGAGTAATGGCTGACTGCTGTTTCCCTTTCCAACCTTATTTTATGTTTTTATATTGAATTTAATAATTACTTAAATCACTTGTTTTTTATTTTATTTTTGACAGAAAACATGATGATTCATGGGGGGTCCGTTTGTTTAACCAGACTAATGTTGCATATGCTTTTTTAACTTTGTATGTTTGGATATTTGGCCCTGAATATTTGCTGCCCCGCCCCTTTTTGGATTAAAGCAGACCTGCTAATATGACTGGCCTAAATTTCAATTCTGTATTCTACGGCGGTTAACAGGCTATCAAAGCAAACAGATAAATTATTTTCTGTTCAGCTCAAGTTAACCGGACACGCGGCGCCATCTTAAGGCGTCATAAACTGACATCACAGCTCATACCTATAGTGTGTATTTTAACCTCATCACTTGAGTGTACTACTGGGCTGTAATGTAGCTGTAGATAAAGCCATAGTTTTGTAAAAAACATAAAAAATACTAGAGAGTATTTGTTAACATAAGCCAACCAGTTGTTTAAGATGAGTATAAAATAAACTAACCTGGATGTAATGTATAATACACTTATCTTCACACTGAAGGATGTCATGTTGGATTTCTAAAACAAGGATGAGAAGGTGTCATGTTCCACTCTACCTCTATTGGATTTAGAAAATATTTTGTAGTGCTCTCTTAAAGTAATGTTTCACAATATATGAAATGTGACTAAAACATTCAGTCTCTTACGTTAGTGAGTTTGTGCTGAAAAAAGACAAACTACAGCTCTCTGTGACCTCGTGTGTCAGTGTTTTTTATTTATTTTTATCTTTTAAAAAGCTGTTTGTTTTTAGTCACGGTGTTTCTAATTTACCTCAATGCTTGTTTTCCCTACAATGTGAGTGTGGTCACCATGGTGATGAGGAAGTGTAACCTCCAGCTGACAGAAACACCTCTAGCTGCTGAACCTCATAAAACTTATAAATGTAAATACTCAACTCATTCTATCGTTCTCGATGTTTTGAACATTTATCAAATCCACATTTAATCATGCATAAATGTTCTTCTATGAACAAATGAAACCTTTCGCCCCTCCAATGTATCTTTATTTTTTTCAACAAACACATCCGATCCAAGAGAAACTTTATTATTACAAAGCACTTTGACAGCCGACAAGCAGAGACGGACAGCATGGATTTGGCACCTGGTATCAAACTGCATTCTGGGAATTTTTTTTTCATGACGGGGGGGTGGTTGGTTGGGGGGTTGGATGTGAAGGGGACCCAACAGCATTCAGAAACACAGAAGAGGTGATGATTGGCTGAGAGATGTGACGTATGAGAGAGAAGGTTAATTATGATCGGAGAGATTTTTATGAAGGAAGCTAACATGCTAATTCAGACGCGTTCAGACGTTTCCACGATGCATCACAATGCAGAGGTGAAAGATTCTGCATCCATGATGACATTGATCTCATATTCATCTGACTTCTTTTCTTCTGTTGGAAAAAGTAGCCATGTGCAGTAGTATAGAAAATTGAGGCTGCAACCCACTGTGATGCATCAAATCAAATCGTTGACAGGATAACTGAATTGAATTGTGAGATCAGTGAAGATGCACAGCCCTATTCTCCATTTTCTACGAGTTGATGGATATCGCTTTTAATTTCCTAAAGGACACCACAAACAAACCCCGGGGTCTCCTCAAGGACTCCTGTGAATCCTGTACGTTGATCCAGGAGTCTGATTTCCTGGTTTAAATCTGCTTCAATCAAAGTCCTTGTAACCTACTCCAAGGAACTTTTTCAGGGACTTGTAGGCGTTTAATTTCTGATATTTCTTCAAATATCTTTAATCTCTTAGATTGTTTCAACGAACTCGTCAGATTCAGAGCATCCTAAAGTTTCCTGGTTTTTGTTTGGATGTCGTGACTGGCTGCGAGCACGACGTTTAACCTAAACTGTTCATGTTCCCGCTGTGACAGTCGGTCCTTCCTGTAGCTTTCCGGAAGTCCATAGCACCATTTCAAGAACTTTTTTTTTTTTTGCTCTTTTCAGGGACCCTTAAAACCCTTAAAGTACTCCTGGAACCGACTCACAGTTTCCACATTGTCTAAATTCACTCGGTATGTCTGTAAGTAAGTAACCTTCCTCAGCATAAATAATAGAAGCTACTAGCATAGCATAGCATAGCACATTGACTGGAAGCAAAGGGTAAACTACTAGCCTTGATTAGCACAAAGACTCACAGCAGGATAAATTACTAGCATATCCTAGTTTAGCATGAGGACAAGAAGCAGGGAGAAATACTAACCTAGCCTAGCACAAAGTCTCACAGCAGGGGGGGGAAACTACTAGCCAAGCTTTGCATAACCGCTGGCTTCTGGATCAATCTTCTTTAACGCCTTCCTGAAAATATGCGCACAGGAATCCTCTGACAAGTGGTTACCTGTCTGCCCAAGCAATGCTTCATGTGTTACCTGAATACCTGACTGAACTGTGATTGGTTGTTTTTTTCTTATGGTTAATTTGTTGATAAGTTACGTTCAGAAAGCTTCACTTTAACTCCAAAAAATCTCTTCATCATGTTCGTGTGATATCAGGTGAAGGTCATGACGAAAAAGGCGGGATGATGATTTTTTTTTCTTTTCTTCCATCAGGTAGTTTCCTTGGTAACATTAGAGGGCGGGGTCTGTAGGCACAGGGTTATCCAATCACAGGCCTTGTTTGGCGAGGGAGGCAGAAACCTGACAGTGGAAAAAAAAGGATGTTTTTTTGTTATCGTGTGTTTAAATGTTGGGTTGAAGTCTGAACCAGTAAAACTCTCACCTGGTCAGCCAAGTCGTTGAGAGGCGGAGCTTCAGCAGCGTTAAGGCTTCCAGGGGAGGAAGTGTTGCTAAGGTGACGAGGGGAGGAGTCGGGCTGGACGACGATGTCCGCACCGTGGTCAGTGCGAGCTTTGGCGGACTCTCGAAAGTTCAGTTTTTGACTCTCGATCTGTCCACACACAAGAATCCAAATATGTTACAGGTGACATTTTGTCAAACTGCACTTAGCATATTGTAATATTACCCTGTTTGTAGTACTGTGTCATAACGTGGAGTTAGTGTATCCATGGTAACATTATCTTTAAATGTGTTGTTAGCACGTTATTATGCTGTTTGTAGCCTGTTTCTTAATGTTGTTATGCAAGCCTTTCAGTAGCCTGTTGAGAGCGTCTTGTTGGTGTTAGCATATTCTGCTTTTAGCCTGTTGATAGCTTATAGCTTGGTGTTGGCCTGTTTTCAAGTTAAGAGTGTTGGCAGCATGTTGGAAGCGCTTCTTTAGCGTGTTCTCAACATTTACCTTCTTCTTCCCTCCTCCTGGAACATGAGTGACGTTATCCAAAGAGCCAATTTTAGACTGAACACTCTTAAAATCCACCTTCTCTGACTTGATCTCCAGCTTCCCTCCACCTGACACACAAACACACACACACAGTGCTTTACACTAAAATAATGACAGTATTGGTGTTTACACAGATTCATCTCTAAACCTCTAGTTGTCTATAGCTAGTTAAAAACTGTCTAGTGTAGCTGTAGAAGATCTGGAGAATGGTTCCAGCTTTCTGAAGAATATATATTATCAGAGTTATGCCCTTTTCTCACATGCACAAAACTCTAGAATATTCTTTGGTGAGCTGCATCTGTAGATGCAAATTGCCACATTTTTGTCCCCGACTCCTACCAGGCCCCGAGTGAAATTTCTGCATGACAAAATCACAATGAGCAGCGAGCAGGGGTGATGACACTGTGAATATGTCCATTACACTGAGCATTGATATTAATTCAAAAACTGTCACCATAGCATGGGACTCTTTTGCTACGTCTGCCATTACTAAGCTGTCTTTTTTGCATCATTTCCTGCTTCCTGAGACTCCCCCAACCCCCCCTCCTCATCCGTAAGTCAGTCAGCGAGGTAGACTGTCCTGACATTTTCTCCAAATCTTCAAAAGTTCATATTTGGAAGAGACTCATTGAGCAAAGTGCATTTTAGTGAAATACAGTAAAACATCACGATACATGAGAAATATCTTAAACACAGTGCTGTGTTACCTGGTTTGTGGTGGATGTTGGCCTTAGAGCCGCACTTTGATGTCACGCTACTGAGATCCAACTTCTTATGAACAATCTGAACCTGCAGACAAACAGACTGGTGTAACTATCTTCTTTTAAATATGAGTGTGAGGACACCTTTTTGTTTTTTAAGTGGGGTGCAATTTAAATCTGGTCCATGGCCAGAGGCGCTGCTTGTCATCATCAGGCAAAGTAGGCAACTTCTTGGGGCCCCAGACCAGTAGGGGGGGAACCCTGAGGGCTGACAGACTCCAAGCAGTGGCCCAAAATGTGCAAATTTTGCAACGACAGTAGGAAACCTCCCTCAGGGGCCCCATCTGACGATACTCACTGTCGTTGCCCTGCTAAGCGTTATTGCATTATTGCTGTGAAGACCAAAGTTTGTCAATGAAATTCGACAAAGAAAAACAAAGAGGAATTATCCGAGAGAGAAAAAAGAAACAGGAAAGAAGAGGAGTAAGAGTCGGGACACTGGCAGACATGATGGTGATGAACGCCGGTTGGAGGCCCGCCCAATTGAGTGTTTCCAACAGACTCGAGTATCACCACTGTCTCAGAAGTACAGGTAGACAAAGACAGGTGTGTTACCTTGCCACCGCCAGGTGAGTGTCTGAGGTTCTCCGTGGATCCCACCTTTGACCTCACGTTGGTGAGGTCAGGCATGGGGTGGGATTGTAGGGGAGGTGTGCGTCCACGGGCTGAGTTAGGTGACCTGGGAGGGGTCCGGACCACTGCCACCTGTATGTGATCAGTACCAATCAAACCAGTGCTAATAAAATATTCAACCAGTAAAAGCTACAGTAAGTTATAGTAACATTAAATTGTTGATAAATGTAAAGATGCACTCCATTATGTCCTACTCAAACTGTTATTTGTGTTCTAACACAGGGCTCTTTAGGGAGTGACTCACTTTTGGAGCCAGCCTCAAGTGGGCACTTGAGGAACTGCAGATTTGAGCACTTCAGTGTTGACATAATTTCTCATCCCTGGAGGTTTCTGCTTCGTATTTGTCCTCACAGGCATTCAGATGATTGTCTGAACTAGTCATCTAGTGGCCATTTGAGGTAACTGCAGTACCTTTATAGTGTGTGTCTTTACTGTCTGTGTTGTGCTACCTGCACCAAATTATTCTTTTTCCATTATACTTCAAACTGGTGTGTTTTAACTACTTAGCTAAGGATCATTTCCAGCTGTTGAGCATAGATTCATTTAGCTAGTGTTGAAATAGCGACAGAACAAAGGTTGGTTGTCCAGAAACACAAACAGACAGAAAGGCCAGGTTCAGACCTTTTTCACATCTCTGTTCGGAGTCGAGGATCTGCTGGCAGGAGAACGACTCCCTGGACTGCTGACTCCATCCACTGACTCTGACACATCGACACACACACACACACACACAGGTTAAACTCTGTGATACTGGTTAAACTGGTGTTAGCAGTGGTTGAACCGCTGTAGTGTTGTACCTGTACTCTTGGCTGTCATCATCATGGCTGCTTTGGCGCCCCCTGCTGCCTTGGAGGCCTTTAACACAAAATATTATTATCATTAATTATTTATTTTTTATTTCTTCTTTTAAGTCTGACAGAAACTCTAAATCCTGCTGATGTTACCTTCACAGTTTCTTCAGCAGCTCCCTTCGCGGCTGCTTTTTCTGAACAGCAGAAGAAGAGTCAAGCGTGGTGTTAATATGACATCAGAAATATGTCGCACATGTCGTGTTTTTTTTTGTTTTAGACAAAGAGACATCTCATGAAGATATCAAATAAAAAAGAAAAACTGTGATGTGGCTGGTCAGTAAAATTCCCGTGATACAAAATAGATGTTAGCGACTGGTTCAGCGAACAGGTTGGCAACCTTCAGCAAGCCAACCTTTTTTATTGCTTCTTTTGGTTCAGTCTTAAAACAGCTCTTTCTTTTTGAATTTAATTGAAAACGCAAAGTTGCTCTGCTGCATCATGGGAACTTTGACTGCAAAATTAAAAAACGTTTGTATCAACAGAAGGAGGGCAGCAAACGGGGATCGCTAACAAGAGGTGAAATGCCATGTTTCCATGACGACACAAAAAAAAGTGAACAGGAAGTGTCCAGTCTGTGTCACCTTCAAAACAACCGACCAAATGATAAGAAATGTTCCTGAAACCTGACACAGACGAGGAGCGGAGAGGAGGAGGAGAAGAAAACAAAAAAAACAAAGAAGAAGAAGAAGAAGAAGTGGGAGAGAACAAGGAAAGAAAGGAAGAGAAGGTGAGGAAACGTATTGAAGCAGGAGAGGAGGAGAGGTTCAGAAAGACAGACCTTTGTTAAGAGGAGGAGGAGCACCTGATTTCCTAACTTGGGCAGCCTGTTTAGCCGGAGGAGCACTTTTTGTCTTGGGTGGAGCAGCCTGTTTCAGTGGGGAGGCGGCGCTTGTTTTCCTCACTGAGGCAGCTCCTGCGGGCGGAGCTTTGGCTCTGGAAGGAGGAGCGGCAGTAGAAATCGCGCGCTTCTTCTCTTTGCTGACGCCTCCATTAGCCAGAGGAGGAGCATTTGTTTGACCAGTTAAGACCTCGTTGGCAGCGGCGGGTGGAGGAACGGGAGGTGCTTGGTGGATCAGTGCGTTCTCCTTCGCCTCCTGGGGGTCGAGCTGCTCCTCGGCAGGACACGCCGGACTGATGGGAGAGCTTGTTTTCAGTACATCTGAGGACTCTTGCTCCTCCTCAGCTGACATCACAGCTCCGTCAGAACTCTCCTTCATCATCTGCTCCTCCTCCTCCTCTCTGTGAACTCCTCCTTCATCAGGAGGTGTGATGGAGGAGCAGGGGGATTCTGCCTGAGCCTCCCTCTCCAACACAATCTCTTCTGTCTTCTCCTCTTTTTTCATCAATACAACTTCTTCATCCTCTGTCACCTCCTTGTCTTCTTTGTCAGTGTGTTTCCTCTCTTCCTTTCCTTGTTCTCTTTCTCTGGCTTCCTCCTCTTCTTCTTCTTCTTCTTCTTCTTCTCTAACTTCCTTCTGTTTTTCTTGTCCTACATCCTTTTCCTCTTTCTGTTCTTCTCCTGTCAATTCATCCTCCACCTCCTCCTCCTCCTCCTCCTCGTCATGTTTTTCTCCTCTGACCTCCTCCGCCTTCTCTATCTGCTCCTCTCCTTCGACCTCCTCATTCTCTTCTCCTTCTTCCTCTTCCTGCTCTAAAGGAGGCGTTGTGAGATGCTCCTGTTTCTTCTCACTCCCTCCATTTTTATCTTGTAGGTCTACCTCTTCCTCCTTTGACACCTTCTCCATTTCCTTTTCTTCTCCTTCTTCCTCCTCCTCCTCCTCTTCTTTGTCTGCTCCTCCGTCATCAGAAGAAGGTCTGGTGGGGGAGCAGGGAAGCTCTGGCTGCTTCTCTTCTTTGTCCTCCTCCTCCTTCACTCGCTCTTTGTCCCAAGGCCGCTCCTCTTCCTCCTCCTCTTTCTCATTCACAAATCTTTCATTTTCCTCTTCCTTATCCATCCTTTCCGGCTGCTCCTCAGGGCTGCTCCTCACCACTTCACCTTCATCCCGTTGCCCCTTCGCCTCCTCCTCCCGCTTTGCTATGCTTCCATTTGGAAGCTTATCCAGTGAACTGATGGAGTCAAGGTCTGAGGGAGGAGGAGACAAGGGGAGACGGAGGAGAGGAGGAGACAAGAGGAGAGGAGAGCAGGAGAAGACAGGAGGAGACGAGACAAACACTGAGAACGAATAAACTGACTGGATGTAATTGAACACGTCACCATGCTAACGAAGATGTCTTTGTCAAAGTGGTTGCTAATGGTAACAGGAGGCGGGGACTTCCTGTTTCCATCAACAAGCTGACACATCATCACACAGGAGGAAGATAAGGACAGGAATCCATCAGTCAGCACAACAAAGACGCATATCTAGAAGCTAGCTGTTAGCTTCTAGATATCCATTAGCGTATGGAGATTTATTAGCTTGTCGATAACTGTTTTTTTTCAGGATTGTTGTTGTTGTAATTAGATTTTACAATAGATTTTATACCGGTATAAAATGCTGACACGTCATTACCACAAGTTCAGCCGCCACACCCGCCGCACAGGACCTGAAACTTCTTATTGCAAGCGACTGCTTCTCTGCGCTAAATGTGCTGAGATACATTTTTTTCTCCCTCATAAAGAAATAATCCTCCATGTAAAGAAAACAGAAGCACGCTGTTAGGTAGATTAACCTCGCGGAGTATTGATTTGATGAAAAAGACTCAGGGGACCAGCAGAGGTGTGCAGCGGGACTGTGTGCACGTTTGCACATGGTCGTGGTGGGCTGCGGGTCCGTACTTCAAAATTGCAGATGTTACTGAAACAGAAGGCTCAACTATACAATACAGGTAACTAGCATGATTGCACTTTTAAAAAAATAAAAAAAAGGTCGTAGGCTGTTAGAAAGAAATACTCAGCTGCAGTTTTCTGATCTCAGCAGAAATCTCAACGGTGGCTGATAGTTATTAGTTCATGAATAATTGTAAGAAAGGTGTTACCAAGAGCTGTTTTGGACAACTATTAGATACTTAGGAATTAACGTTGAGCTTCTGGACGGTTGTAAGCTGAGGGAAAGTTGTCAGTTAGATGTAGATTCACTGTTTTGGTTCCTTCAGGAAAAAATGGTTACTGATATAAAATACTGCAGTTTATTAATGATAGTACACATTATGGCATTGTCTTTTTTAATTTTTATTTAAATGCACCTACCTCCTGACATGCTCTGGTCTGCAGGGGTGGGACCACCTCCAACGGGGGCGGAGTATCCATCCATCTTCACTCCTACAGAGGAGAAAGATGAGAGGAAAAGGAGAGAGAGAGAGAGAGAGGAGATAAGGAAGGGAAGAGAGGAAGAAAAATAGGGAGTGAAGTGGAGGTGTTGGAAAATGAGTCGAGAGGGATGAGAGAGTGGAATAAAGGAGGAGAGGGAGAGGAGGGGAGGGGAGATGATAAGAGGAGGAGAAGGGTGGGAGAACGACAAGAGTTGAAGAGCATTAGTTGAGTCAGTGCGCATGCTCAGTAACACAGTAAATCCTCCATGATGATGATGCAGCAACAAAACCAGTAAATTCAGTTTCTATTAAATTCTATGTCTCCTCCACCTGTCAATCATAAGCTTGCACACGAGAAAGCGCGTTCACGTGCAGGCCAGCTTCTCCTCTGTGTGTTTGATCTGAATCTTAATTAGTCAGAAGGGTAACAGGGCAAACGTTGCGTCTTATGTAACGGTGACAGGCGGCAAGAGAGCGGAAAATACCTCAGCGAGCGGCTGCCGCCTCTGCCACCGCTGCCGCCGCCCCCCCCATCCTTCAGACAGGGGAGCGGCAGAGACACATGGAGCACAAACAGAGAAGCAGACAGCCAGAGACTTTCAGACAAACAGAAGAGAGAGAGAGACTTAGACAGACAGAGAGAGGCAGACAGAAAAGAGAAGAAAAAGACAGAAACAAAGAAATCCGCAGAAAGAGAATTTTTCAGTGTCTTACCTCCTTGCTGATGTCCGTCTGTCTGCTGCTCCACCCTTCTGCACTTCCACCTGCTGCCGCACTCTGTGGAGGGGGGCGCTCTGCTACTGCTGCTGCATGCTGGGAGACGAGGCGGTTATTGCCGTGGCAACCTGCGGCACCTGCGCACTGTGAAATCACCAAAGTAAGCCGATGCACTCATGATGAAAATATTCTTCATGTTTTGTGAAATAAATCACTCACAAACTAAATACATGCCTACTACACTCACTACACAGGTGTCGAGGTACACCTATTCTTTTCTTTTTTTACCTTACTTTGTATTCTTACTGCTCTACATTATTCTGACAGCAGCAGATTAAAACATTACATTATAGGCCTAGCTTTATTTTGGATTTACATAACCTATTTATTATAATAACGGAACATAAACTTTATATACTCATGATTCACTCATTTAACTGTCTAATAGTTTACTAATCCAATAAGACCATGTGCTACATAACAAGTCATTTTACTGTAATAACTAATATTTGCACGTATTTAGGCCTACACATGTTAGTGATACTCGAGTAAAGCCATGAATACATGTCTGCCTTGTTTCTATTTTCAGCACTAAAGAACATCTGATGGATAAACACGTCTCATAACGTCCCTTTGTTTTACTTTAAAATGAAATTCACAAGTTGTAGGTGACACACAGATAATTTCAACCAACATAATTACTGTTTTGATTTTTTTTTGTATACATTTTATTGTAAAGTTTATCATAAACATGATGACAGAGGTGGTGCTGATGGGTGTTGTAGTCAGTCTGTAGATCATCGTCAGCCATCAGATAGTGTCTAAACGCTAATAAAGGTTTATAACTAACTGACATAAACCCTAAACTGCTCTAATGTTTAACTGTTTTGATTCTGATCATGGTTGCATCATAAACAATAGATAACAATAAAATGACTCGTATCATTTGGATCGATTTATTGATTAAGTATAAGACATCAAAAGACACAGAGGAGTCTCACATATGTATATAGTATCCAGCTGATGCCACTTAAAAATCCACTCAGGTGTTCTTTAAACATGACTTTAGAAGAAGTGCCCCTGATATCAGAATTTAAACGATATTTAATCTGCAAATATTATAAACAAGTATTTACAAAATGTCTTTATATCAGATATTGTTCAAGCAATTTCCCGCAAATAATGCCAGTGATGTCATAGTTATCATAATACCAATATAAACACATTCATTAACACAACCATGCACACACAAAAACTCTCTCTCTCTCTCTCACACACACACACACACACACACACACACACACACACACACACACGTAAAGGACAACTTCAGGTCCAGAAGGAAGAGTAGCAGTTTATGTTTCATCCTGAGTGTTTCCATCTACACACACCTACTGCTACCTACTATGCTACGGTTACCACGGTTACTGATGTTACTGTTAGTACGATACTGTTCTCTATGAGGGCAAAGTTTTGTTTACTTTAAGATACAGTTAACTCTGCACAGTGCAAATGTGCACAACTTTACAATTAAAGATGAATCTATATTAAATATCATATATATATTAACTGTTGTGTACAGCGCTCATCGCATGGAAAGTGCAAATATTCAAAGTACAAAAGCAAGTCTGCAACAAATCGAGGATAAACTCCTGCAGCCAGTCCTGATGCTCACAAACTATCAAAATATAATTTGAGTGAATCTTTGTTCTCAGACTGTTTAATTCTATTAAGAATATGTATGTGTTTGTTCATCCGTCGCAGTTTATAAAAAATATATATTTTTCAGATTCAGAGATCACGATCTCCGGTGTGTTTTTAAAGTGCTGCAGTAATCGTCTGATGTCCAATCGGTGTTCATGCTGTAGTACACCAAAACACTGTGGAGGAGTTTATGTTGAAATACTTCACAAGCAACAAAGGTTGTGTCTGAAATCACACACACTGATTCCCTACTCCTTACTCACTACAGGGAGTTATATGTAGTGGACTTTATAGTGCACTCATTCACCACAATTAAAAAACATTTCAGACACTACTCGCTCACTAGTCGGCCCTAGACAGTGATGTCATTGCTGTCCCTAAACTAAAACTTGTAGCTTAAAGGCAGGGTTGGTCATTTTTGAAAACTAGCATGATTTTGAAAGGAGCATTCCCTCAGTGCTCCGTCTGCACCCACCCCCTCCCTTCTGTGCTCCCTCAAAAGCCACACCCCCTCACTTACATGCACGAGCGCCGTTTCTCCAGAAGCGGACCTCAGCTCATTGTTTGCATTGTGCAGAAACTACGTCGTCTCATGTCTCATTCAGCGGGAAGTAAACACTGAACTTTATAATAATACTAAAAAAATGTGACTGTTTTACGACTCACAACGACAAACGTCATACTCACAGTATAAACTCCGTCATTAGTGGCTCGCTTTCAGTCTAGTGCATGCAACGAGCAGGGAGGCGTGTGATTGGTTCATCAGATTGGTACCTCGTGGCAGAC